GACTACGGTATAAACTATTCTACTTCTGTAGGAATGGTTTAAAAAAAAAGATAAGGGGATGGTCAGCTGGGTAAGATAATTTTATCTCCTATCTGCCTGGCTTTTTTTTTTTCCCCACTCATTTTTTGTTGTTGTTGCTGTTGTTATTGTTGCTGGTTGATGGACAGAAATAACAAATAAGGAATATCATGGAAGAACACAGCTGTTCATCCCAAACTCAAGTTCTTGTGTTTACTTGAACCTCCTACATCGTTGTTAACTATTGCAAGTTTAAGAAAATGAAAACGAATTGTACATTTTGGGCATGTGAAATGCGTTCAGTTTGTGGATCACTGCATCAGTGTCCCCTTGCTTGTGTTCCACAGTGTTCAGAAAGAGACATTCTGAAGTCTTAAGATGACTTCACTTCCTTAAAGAAATAACAGCAGTTAGGGGGTTCTGCCTATAGTTTAAACAATGAGATTTTCTTGGGACATCTGTTTTGAGATCACATTTTGAATAGATATGAACTCATTTCCTACTAAGCAAGCAATCTACTATTGTTGATAGCTGTTTACCAGTTCTATGAGTCAGATATTAGCTAGTGGCAAAGGTCCCTCTTAAATCCTCCGAGTATTCTTTAAACTGTGCACATAGTGTTTTCCTTAAATAAAATGTTAAGAGAAGGTAAAAATGCAGTCTTTTCCTGCCTCTTGGTAAATTATAGTCCACAAAGTCTTGCACTTGGGAATAATATTTAATGTATTTATCTTTAAAGAGTCATTTCCTTTGTTGTCATTAGTTAAGGGAATAAGATACTAGGTTTAGCAAGTATTTAAATAACATAGAAACTACTGAGATGCTCACTATGTCAATATTTATATAGCATTTAAAAACTAGAAGTAAAAATAAGTTTCCTTTATTTAGATTAAATCGATTGTGATTAATTTAGTATCCTCAAAAATGTGCATGATGCTCAAAAAAAGATAAGCAGATAAAAACACAGCTATAGATACTATGGAATTGACCTTGGGTTCACCGGTTTTAAATTCTACCTTTCCAATATCCCAGTCCCAATTTCCAAATGGCATTTTTTTAAGCTGGTTATGTAGATCAGTCCTTAAAGCAAAAAAATAGCAATTTATCTGGCCTGTATGTTGTGGATAGTGTTGCCACTAAAAAGAATCCAGGACATTTTTCCTTCTTATCTGCGATGTAGCTCATATCAGCCAACCTGTCACAAGATAGTACTTGATATAAACAAGAGATTGCAAAGACATCTCAGTAATCAATATCAGGATGGCTACAGTATGGAAACCCCAACCAGTGCATATCATTTGTCTCAGCATCTATTTCTATGGCCAAATGAAGCATTAATTCAAATCATAAATCTATGGTGATTTAAATCTGGGAATGAGCACCTGCCTGCTTTAATGATTTATTTTGTACATTTCAGTAAGCAGGAGATTTGTCCATATGAACTGACAGGTCACCTTCAGATGCCAGGAGCAGACTGTTTATCACCATGCAGACTAGCATCTCATCTTAGCAAGTAAATATTAAACTAAAAGAATCCAATTGATTGTGGATGAGGGAGAATGGAGACACGGCCATATATTTTACTCAGCGTGCTGATGCCTCCCTCGGATCTATCCTGAAGTCCTCACTTCTTCCTAAAGTGATCATTCTGTTGGAGAGATGTGAGCTCAAGGTTACCATGTAAAGTTGGGACATAAAATAATTATGTATCAGTGTCACAGATTTCTTTAAACACCTTTTTTTGGCTAATTTTTACAATTCATAATAAGAACCAAAAGGAGTCATGTGTAATAAAAAATCTCTCTTCACCTCACTAAATGGAATCAAACCAGGCAAAACCAAAATCTGTTCTCTGGGGCAATAAGGATTTCCTTACGACCCGGGTGGCGGTGGAGGGGGTAATAATGTTCCTACATAGGAAAGCCTAAAACTTTTAACAGAACTCGCGAGCCAGAGGAGTATGAGAGAAAAAAGAAACCTGAATTGATTTCAAAAACGTCACTGTATTTGGGCATGGCTGAGCAGCAACGATACATCATGTAAGTAGCACCTCTCTGAGGGGTTTCACTCCTTCAAAGAGACAATTGATAGATTCATGAGAGTAGTAAGTTTGTATTCTGAAATATAGGCCTTTGAGATTCTTGGGATCCCTCCTGGAATTCATCTGCTTCAGTACCACTTGCTAAGCACCTCATGCCCGCCGAAGCTCCCGGATGTAGTACATCCTGTTATGACTGCCTACTTATGTAGCCATCCCCCCCATAAACGGTATGCCCCCTGAGCGCCGGGACTGTATTATCATCATTTGATGTTACTAGAATGAGTGACAATCAAATGCACAACAAAATCCAAATGAGTGACAATCAAATGCACACAATAGCTCCCCCCAAAATTTACCCATAGGCCTGCAGCTTAATAGACACCTAACAGAGAGTAGAAAAACAGGGAAGGAAGCAAGAAGGGAAGTGAGAAACACTTGACAAATAGGATCTCCTTTAGTTCTCATGATGTAGATATTATTATGCCATTTTCCAGATATGGAATGTTAGGCTCAGAAAGTTTACAGAACTTCCCAAAGCCACAGAAGAGGTAATTGCTGAACACTTACCAGGAGACAGGGACTGCTGGCAGAATCTTAGAAGACTGGGGGCCAGATAAAGCAACTGCTCTGTTCAGCCACTATTTTGGTCTGTGCAGGCTCAACCCCATGGTGCCCTGGACTTTCCCTCCCCTTCCTCCCCTACCCCTCCACCAAACTCTCCTGTCTTGATGTCTAGAAAAAGGAGGGGGATGGGCTCTGGAAGTATAATAAATCATAAATTCTTAGAGGGCAGTGGTATTTGAGAAAAGAATAAAAAATGACAATGACAACATTTTACTCCCAAATCAGCTACAGATATCTAACAGAAATGATCTACATGCCTCAAGACTAGCAGTAGCACCAATGTTAACACACTCTAAAAATATTAAGACTCTGTAGGAAAATTCAAACTTCTGCTCTTGACTCAAACTGGTGTTGGATGGGGTGGGGGTCAAAACTAAAAAACAATCTAAACTACCAACTAAATACCCTGATAGAAGAAAAGTGATAATTTCTTCCAACTACACAAAAAGGAAAATTCAAATTGTTTCTTTTTTAAGTCATTACGGTAGCCCATAAACCACAATTTGGTCACTAGGCAAATGTTAGTCTATAATGTCAAGAATTAAATGTATGTCAATGCCTAATTATGAGCCATGTTCTCCTTATCTTATGCCTATTGGTTTTTCCAAAGTCAACTTCTCCTCTGCTGCTCAGGAAACTCAAACAGAGATATCATGCTTTAATATCTTTTGTTTTCAACATTATTAAATTGCCTAATTTAAATATTCCTCCTCCCAACACCAGCTATTAAGAACAGCCTGCATTAAAGGCTCACTCTTCTAAATTTTTAAAAACATTCCAGATTGTTTTGCAATGGTAACTAAAATTTATAGTGGCCAATTACTTGTTTTTAAAAGTGTCTAATTTTGTTCTACTTTATAGGCCAAAGCAAGAGATTGCTTATTTAAAAAAATGTACTTGAGAGTTCCAAAAAGAGAATTATAATTCATTCACTTTACTTCAAAACTGTTTTTAGTGTTTAAAAGTCTGAATTTATGTGTGTGAACCACGACCTTAACAACCCCGCTGCCCTCCATCCTGTCCCTAGGAGCACTGCAAATGCAAGCCCTCATGTTTTTCTTCATCCCTTCCAGCTGTAAAGCCATGGCTTTGGCTCTCTTTCACATCTTTTCAACCTTCTAAGAATTGCCACCACTTTCTTTATAACCTATTCTCAAATCAAACGCATTATTGCCACGCCTTTGCTACTTCTCTTGTGTGGTGCTATGGAAAAATTCTATTTATTTTTTTTTTCCTTTTTTACATTAGAAGCCACCCTTTGGCATCACTGAAGCAACAGTAGTTTGTGTTTTGTGTATATATTTAGAAATTACTCCCTACTCGGACATTCACATCTAGTGTATGCTTCCATGGAACTGTTGTATGAATGATTATTACTGAAATCCCTTACATGCCCTTAACTATCTGACATTAGACAGAAAGTAGAGAGCTGCTGATTATCTAAAGAAATAATCTATTAGCATACTGCATGGAAAAGAAAATTTAATTGAACTGCCATAAATTATTGCATCCTTCATGAAAATATGTTGGATATAGTATCTTATACATCTCTTGTAGTCTCCACATTTTTCTTGTTAAATTATAATTTGAGCAGGATTTCTACATTTTAAAGAGAAACAATACAGTGCAGTGGCGGAATACAATGCTTTATCTCACCAACACATAGATGCTAAAGATATCATCAATAAAAAAGTTAACTCACATTTGAAGTTGTGTTTGAAAAAACAAACTACTCAAACGAATTCTGCAAAGAGAAAGGTGTTGGTTTTGGTTTAAATGGTGATTATTAATTTTTCCTCTCTTTCTCCACATCTCATGAAAGAAAAAAAAAATCAAGAGAATTCAAAGTTGTACATGTACGACGAGAAAGATTGGTTATAGTTGTTTATAGAAAGAATGAATTGTCAACATTATTCTTATTCTTGGCAGCACATGAAAGGGTTAAGTTTATATGTTCCACTGCTGATGCAAACGTATTTGATAACACATCCATTAGGAATCAAAAAGATAAAGTATGGGTTTGTTTGTAAATATTCTTGTCACCATACCCGTAATCAATCTTTTAAAATTCTGATTATTAACACTTAATTGTGGTACAAAAGATGTGAACTGTTAGAAGTTGCCTACACGAAGTTGATGGTATAGCAAAAAATTATGTCGTTAATTATTTAGTCAGAGTGCATGCTGTTAGAGGGACAAAATCGTATCTCCAAAATATACACTGTGTTTGAAGCTAAAAATGAATAGTTTTGTTCTGAAAAAGAAAGTAATTTGGTAGCGACATGATCACAAAAGTTTCCGTGAACATAAAACTTACCAACACTTGAATTCATGTCGCCATTTTCAGAATCTGCTCCATGTTGGTTATTACTGGCATGATAGTTGCTCATGGCTTCCAATTTGATTTTTTTCACCTTCATTGCTTCGGCGATGGCTGCGTTGGTAGCAGCGGCCGCTGCTGCAGCTGCTGCTGTCAGACCTTAACAGAATAAATTAAAAACAAGGTAATTCACATTCTGATCTTTTCATGTAGTAGTCCATGTACTTTGTAGAGCACACATACAAACATATTAGAGGATCTGATTCCTTCATGCCACACTCTGATAACATATATTCATTCCCGACTAGCCAATGAAACAACATTGATATAATGGGGAGGATGCACTGTAAACTCTCAAACCAAATATTAGCAGAGACATAATTCATACATAGAAGGAGAGGAGTAGAAATGCATCCAGAATTCTCTCTCAAACAGATCAATTAGAATATGTTATTCTCTGCTTAAAATCCTCTACAGCTGCCTGGAGGCGGGAGTCTGAACTGCTCAGCTCAATTCATAAAACCTTTCACTAAAAAATGTAAACCTACCTAATCGCTCCATTTCCGCATCCTCAGGCCCCCCTCCAGCTACCTGAACATGCCACCAATACGCGTACATACCCTGCTTCCTCTGTGCTTTCACACATACCACTCCCTTTGTCTGGAATGGCCTTGCTCCACAGCTCACTTCCCTGACCTCTCATCCCCCAGCCTTCTAGCCCCAGGGTTAACACTTTTAACCACTGTGCCATGTTTGTCCAGAACAGTTCACCTCTGTTCATCCAGAGAACAGGAGGTAGATAGGAATGGACGTGAGACTAGAAATAGAATTTGAGGCCAGATTATGGAAGAGCAGAAAGCTAAGGCCATGCTTTATGTACAGGCTATAGATAGCCAGAGAGGTTTTGGAGGAAGGGAGTGGTTTGCTTTCCTTAAACGTGTGAACTTTTACCAAGTGAGTTCACTTTATCCTGGCATCCCTCTCCTGTAAAATGGCAGACACTGCAATACCTGAATAATCTCCCCTAATTCTGAAACTTTAGCAGTCTAGGAGAGGATATAGATATCCCTGCTCCCCATACTCTTTTTGCTATGGCTGCTTCAGAGTTTCTGACTACGGTGCTTCAACTCGGTTTGAATTTATCTGTGTGATTTATTTCCACTCCCAGCTGGTGGATTAGAGACTGAACACCTCTCTCCTCTTTTCCTCCCCACTAATCATCGCTTCTAGTTTCTACAGCAAATGTTACAGCCTCGGAAATTATAAGAAAGTCTTTTTTTTCCCCCTAGAAATCTCTGCTTTTTTTTTTTTTTTTTATAGATGTTAGGAGAGCTCACCTTTCCTTCAGATCAGACCAAAGAGGCCTTTTAGCCCAATGCAACAAGACCTTCAGAATGGATCTTTGAGTGAAAAACTGATAACCACCCTCTAAAAAGGCACTGATGTAAACTCAAAGAATTCATCTGGGTCTACACTGTACATTTGTTGCCTTTTAAGTCCCAACTTGAACGGATTCTCTCATCTTCCTATGATTGAATTTACTCCCCAGTTACTCATTTCCTTCAAAGGTGTTTCAGAACATTTTCTTTCCTGTTAAAATTCTCATGTTTCCCAGCAACTCTCTCTTCCTCGATTTTGCCTGTCACAAATGTGACTATCCTACGTGTCCCTTCCCTTCATTACCCCGTGTGGCCTCATCTCTACCGTATAACACTTCCAGGGTCTTTATCTTTGCTTTATGCAGCAGGTATATCTTGTATTCAAATAAGGAAGATAAAACTACAACTTGAGATCTGACTGTTATTATTATATAGATCTGAATCAAATTCTACTGAATTTGAAACATAACTATGCATGATATAGCCTTAGACCAGCCATAAAGCCTTTTTGAATATTGTTTCTTCACCTGTAAATTCATTCTATTCACAAAGGGATAATTATGAGGATTAAATGAGATAGACTATGTGAAGAAGGCCACATCATGCTATTAAACACTAGGTATTCTAGTTCCTCAAAAAGCCCAGTCCTAGCCATGATTCCTGCAGGATATGGCGGACTGGCCATAGCCCCCTTAGCTAGAAGAATCTTACTTCTCTCTTTAACCCTTGACTTTTAAAAATATTTTTTTATAATTTTATTTACCTGATCTTATGAATGGTTCTCTTCTACTTGTCCACTTGGCAGTTTATCCCCACGGTTTTACATTTCTAATACAAATTTCAAAAGGTATACGGTGGTTCCCCCTCTATCCATGGGAGACATGTTCCAAGACCCCCCCCATTGGATGCCTGAAACTACAGATAGTACTGAATCTTAGGTATACCATGCTTTTTTTCTATACATACATACATATGACAAACTTTAATTTATAAATTAGGCAGAAAGAGATTCACAACAATAAAATAGAACAATTACAACAATATACTGTAATAAAAGTTATGTGAATGCAGTCTCTCTCTCCCTCAAAATATCTCATTGTACTGCACTCACACTTCTTATGATGATGTGAGATGATAAATTCCCTACATGATGAGATGAAGTAAGGTGAATGACACAAGCACTGTGACCTGGCATTAGGCTCCTATTGACCTTCTGATGATTTTTTAGAAAGAGGATCATCTGCTTCCAGGCCATGGTTGACCAAACTGGGGAAAGGAAACTGCAGATAAGGGGGACTCCTAGAAGTGTGTGACCCATACATGATAAAACTGAACTATCTAATAATTTTTTATAAGAAGTATTGCACTATTTTTATTTTTATTTGAGAAGGAGGGAGAGCCACAGAGGGAGAGAGGGAGAGAGAGAGAATCTCAGGCAGACTCCATGCTCAGCATGGAGCCCAACGTGGGGCTCGATTCCATGACACCAAGATCATGAATGGACCCAAAATCAAGAGTGGGATGTCCAACCAAATGAACCACCCAGGCTATAATACTTTTAAATACTGAATTGTTAGTCTAGTTTAATGAAAGCAAAAAAAAAAAAAAAAAAACTATGACATTTTCAGCAGTTGCTGATTTTAGTTCCACTAACTCACCTGGCTCACAATTCTAACACTTTAATAGCTTTCAAATTCAAGCAATTTTCTCCATTTTCCCGGCTCCCTCTAGTGCCAGCTGCTGCCTTTTCTTCAGTGGAGTCCTGCAATAGCCTCTCAACAGCTTCCCCTTTCCCCGTTTCCAACCTCTTACTACTCATACAGCAGTCAACATAATCTTGTAGAAAGGAAAATCCAATCATGACATTCAATGCCTACTCTTAGATGCAAGTGGGGCACTTCACATGGCTGTCAGGGCCCTTCATGCTCAGCCCCCTGTCTGTCCATGTAGCACTGTGTGTTCGCCCAGGTCCCACTTCCTCTTTGTGCTATAGACACTTCAGCCTTCTCCCATTTCCTCAAATGGACTACATTCCTTCTTCCAAACCAGACTGTGTCCAGGTTGTTCCCACTTCTAGAAAAGCTCCCTAATCCCTGTCCCTGCCCCTACCCCAGACCAGCCCCTGTGTCCCTTATCTGATGGTGTAAATATTATGCTCTAGGAGAAGTGAGCTCAGGTTCCTAACTCTTCAACCTACCTGTGAAATAGCTATCAACATTTCAAGAATCAGCTCAAAATATACTTCTTTCAAAATTAAAAAAAAATATATGTATTTCTTTATTTATTTTTGAGAGAGAAAGAGCATGAGTAGGGGAGGGGCAGGAAGAGAGAGAGGGGGACAGAGGATCTGAAGTGGGCTCTGTGCTGTCAGCACAGAGCCCAATGTAGGGCTCAAACTCAGAAACTGAGATCATGACCTGAGCCTGAGAAAGGCGTTTAACCAACGTGAGCCATCCAGGCACTCCAAAACGTACTTCTTTTAAAGAGCTGACCTTCCCTACTCCTCAAGAGTAGAGCTAGCCATCCACTGGTTTGCGTATGTGACTCTACCATCCTTTGTGCATCAGAATCACTCATGGAGCTTTTAAGCCATGCAAATAGCTGAGCCCTACCCTATGAGGATTCTGGCTGGGACTGCTGCATCTGTATATTTTGGGGTTGAGTCTACTGTTCCTCAGGACATTACAATGTGCAATCTGAGCAGAGAAACTCTTGACTTCTTTAATGCTCTTTTTTAGGAGGGGGGAGGTTACGTTTAAAGCTAGCTCCTCTAACTAGGTTATAACACCAAAAGGACAGAAATACTTCCTTAATATATGTATCCCAAACATCTACCACAATGCCTGCCACAAATTCTCACAGAATGAAAAAACACTTCTGAGACTAGACTACTTGGAAAGCCACAGGAGAAATATGGTCACTATTTTGACAATATCTATGTAAGTAATTTAAAGCATTATGTTTATGTTACAATCAATGTGAATATATTAGGAGCACCAAATTTCATTAATTTAATATAAAGCATGACTCTCCCAAGCTACATCTGCCTAGGGCTGGAGAGGATCACAAAAGGCTCATCCGCCCTCTGTATTTATTGCACTTCCTGTTGGCCTTGCAATGGCCCTTTCAAATCTCTGATGTAATTCTCAAATCCCGCCCCCCCCCAACTTGCTCTTAGAAAGAAGTCCCATTGTATATTTTGCTCCAAAATGAAGTTGTCTTTGAAAAAAAAATTGTTATAAATTCACAAAATAAGTCTAGCTTTTGGTCTATACTTTATAGAGAATTCAAACTGTGAAAACATTTTCATGTAACCAAGAATTGCCTACTTGTGTAAATACTGGGAACCCATAACATTTACCTCCCTGCCTCACCCTTTTCTTCTTCTTTTTTAATGTTTATTTTGAGAGAGAGAGACAGACAGACAGACAGCGAGCAGGGGAGGGACAGAGAGAGAGGGAGACACAGAATCCGAAGCAGGCTCCAGGCTCTGAGAGCCAGATGCACAGAGCCTGATCAGGGGCCTGAACTCATGAGCTGTGAGATCATGACCTGGGACCCTTAACCAACAGAGCCACCCAGGCACCCCTCACTCACCCTTTCCTAAGTGAGAATTTTTGTTATGTCCTCCTTCAGTAGCCCACCTTGAAGTACATTATATTGCAAATTTACCACTGCTTTTAATTCTTCCCAAGCAAGATGAACCATTTTTATCTCAGACTTAGGTAATTCAGTATTTCTTAAAGTGAGAGTCAACATCAAATCCAGCCATCATGCATG